GGAAACTGTTTCTCTTGGGAAGTAGGAAACAGATCCTGGTGGCACCAAGCTTAGAAACTTTCATGTGGGTACATGCTAAAGTACAGGCCTGAAGTTTGGGGTGCCTGGACTGAGCTCCTGCTTCCCACTCTGCTTGGGACTTTGCTTTCTACCTCTGCCCTGTGGAATTCACCACCTGGGGGTGAGGCTTGCATACTGCAATAAATTTTGAGGTCCTCTATGATGGTATCTGCACTTATGCTTTCTTCCAGGTACCTTCCCTGGAACAAATTCCTGAACTGGCCAGCCAAGCTACTTTTACATTTGCTGTGCTGCAATTTAGCACTGAACTAGGGAGAGAATTTATCAAGTGCTGACAAACAAGTCAATGTTGAAGGATGGCCCGAGCATGGAATAGAAACTTTCCCCCACTTAGCAGTGAAGTGCTTTGGATTCTCCAACCTTTTTCTCATTCGTGAACTACTTTTCTGACAATCGAGTCTTTCCTTGGCAACCTCCACCGATGAGCAGGCTGAAGTGGCCTGCTCTTATAGGAGGCTTGGGTCTGGTAGTGCCTTCAGCTCTGTTTGTAAAACTATTCCCATATACACAGCATAAAATGCTTTGTTGATCCCTATCTTCTCCCTGTGAAAGACACATTGGGTTGTATTTTCTGGAGGCCCTGTGAGTGGGAGCTGGCTGTCACCTCATGTCCACACAAGGTACAGGTTTCACAGTAACCACATGTAGTGAGAGTTGCTCAAGTACTTCATCTTTAATATGTCACCAGGAAAACTTTAATTGAATACTTAATAATGGTTGTTTTTTTACTGCATTTCCCAAGTTACATAGGGATGATCATTTTCATGGTTCGGTGGCTGCTGGAAGTGCCATTCTGTGCTAAAGCACTCTGCATTGCCCTAGTTGACTGTGCCATCATGGGTTGGTACGCTGGATTTCTCTGCCTTCACTCATGTATTGCAAGCAACAAGCACTTCTCTTTACTTGCATTTGGGGTTGAAATGGCTTTTCAGAGGTTCCCAGCACTTGTAGTAGTTTTTATCTAGGCGGTTGGAGGTCTGGAGGCCCCATTTGGTGACAGCAAGGCTGAGGGATGATTCAAACATGAAGGCCTGTTGGGAAGAGAGAAGTTAGGTTAGGCATGAGAGGGAGAGTTTAAATCCAGGCAAAATGTCTGGTTGGGAAGAGAGAAGTTAGGTTAGGCAAGAGAGGGAGAGTAAATCCAGGCAAAATGTCTCTGCTCTGCCACAAACAGGAGTTGTATGCGTGGTCTAGTACTGCCAGGTTCTGCCTCCAGCCTGATCAACCCAGGGGGAGAATGCTCTTCAGATCTGGCATTGCTGGTATTAGTCAGGCCTCAGCATCAACCCAGGGGGAGAATGCTCTTCAGGTCTGGCATTGCTGGTATTATTCAGGCCTCAGGAGTGACTTTGGACTCCCTGCATGCCCAGGAAAGCCAGGTCATTCCAAAAGCTCTAGTTCAAGGTCTGTTGATGATCATCATTAGATTTTAGGGCATGGAGAAAGGAGGACAGTCAGGTGGCTTGCTTCTTTGTCCATAGGCTAAGAGAAAAATTAATCAGCCTGAAAATTCCCAGCTTCCTGCTCAGGCAATAATTTTTGTGGGCAGGTGATCAAAGCTGCCTGGCATTGCATGTCTCTGGGGGATCTCCTGGGAGCTGGACAGTGCTGATTGGTAAGGGAGGTGAATGCTACAGCAGTTGTGTCCAAGTACTTTTCCAACTTGCCAGCAAGAAGCTACAGAACTAGGCTGTAGTTAAAGAGTGGCACTGTGCCATGCTGTATTCAAGATCTTGCTAGCTCTCTTGGCTCCTTACCATGGTCCCGTCTGCAACCCTCTCTGGCTCCAGCTTGGCTTTGCTGGCCTTCTCAAAGCAGTCAGCGTCCGGCCCGTGAGGGGTCATCATGCTGTGCAAGCTGCCACCTCCAGGCTGGAAGCCTTCCTCCTTTGCTTCATAGTGGCCTTTGATGAGCCCCATGAACTCACTCATGCAGTTCCCTGCAGGAGGCATAGAGAAGAGATTGAAGAGAAGTATGGCTGGGAGGGATCACAGCTGGGATGTGAGCTTGTTGAAACCCATGAGGTAAGCTGGGCCAGGCAGGGGGTTGAGTGGAGGTTCCTAAGCAGGGTATCATGTGAGGGTCATTGGGGGATCCTACAGGCAATGCTTGTAAAGCTGTACAGGATTTTATTATCAGGATTCAGAAACAGAGCTCCCTAATGACTGTTGTTCCTTCATTAGAAACTACCCCAATGAAGGTGGTTCCATCAATCCCCAGGTGATGTCGGCAGACCTGTGTTTTTCCTACCACCTTGAGCTGTGTAAGTACTACACCTGCATGTGGACTGCACGGTGTAACCCGATTTTACAGGCTTAAAGCACTGGAAAGGAAGTTCTGTACAATCATTGCTATGTTACAGACACAAAATGCCTGACCAACAGCCTGGTGAGAGAGCCTGGTCTGCTGTCCCAGGTTATAAGCATGAAATCATGATGTTTGATATCCTTTTACCACTTCCAGTGCAGCCAGATACTCCACTACCTTGTGCTTTTGATTCATGCATTAGCTACCTATTTCTCTACAGCCACTTTATGCCCAAAGACGAGGAGCAAAATTCTGGCTTTCCCTGAGGAAGAATACTTTGAGTAGACCCTCTGAAGGCAGTAGAGTAAGATACCACTAGCTTAGGTAAGGATGGCTGTATCTGATCATTCAGTGCTTACTGAGTTATGCTCCCTGTAAGGAAAGTACTGTCACAGCTGATTTCCCAAGCTTTAAATTTTAGTAGATCTGATGTGACTAAACAATATGGCAACTTTCTGCTTAGCAGTCAGTTTTGCAAAACCAGGACGTGCTTCTGTAGCTATGTTATATATAGCCCTTTTTAACCACTAGTTCAGTCTTAGTTAAGTACAATCCAGGGTCTGAAATGTTTAACAACAGAACTAATTTAGCTCAAAGCAGGGTTGGCCTATATATGTGTGCAAACATTCATTAATTTTCATCCCAAGTTGTCAGTGTCTCGTGTAAGACAGGACTGCTACAAGCTTTTCATTGAACCTGCTCATGTACTGCACTTGGCACATTTAGATTGCAGCAGAGATCCTAAGAGCTAGATTGCCTATGTGCCTACAACAGGACTTTTGATATCACTTAGGAAGAGTGGGCAGGTAAGTAGGAAACCAGACTGGAACTTAAGGGATGAGCTGAGCCATTTCTTATTCATTTGTAGATTTCCCGTGTGAATCCAAACAACTTTGGTGTGCCCCCATTCCCTATCTGTAAAATAGTGTTGTCTCTACAAGCAGAACGTTGTGAAGTCAAAATTACTTAGTGACCATTAGGTATTAGGTCCCACCATCATGAGAATCACATAAGCACTCTCTCAGACACAAGTAATATATGCCCATGGTATAAAAACTGCATCAGGCATTTTTCAGTCTGTGTTCCAAAGTACCTAGGAGTAAACCACAGCCTCTGAGGATCACAGAATCATAGAATTTTAGGAGTTGGAGTGGACCTTACAGATCATCTAGTCCCAACCCCCTGCCCTGGCCAGGGACATGTCCCCACTGGACTAGTTTGCTCAAGGCCTCATCCAACCTGGCTTTGAACACTGCCAGGGTTGGGGCAGCCACTGCTTCCCTGGGCAACCTGTGCCAGTGTCTCACCACCCTTACAGTAAAAAGCTGTTTTCTAATATCTAATGTAAACTTTCCCTCCTTCAGTTTGAACCCATTACCCCTTGTCCTATCACTGCAGTTCCTAACAAAGAGTCCCTCTCTGGCTCCCTTGCTGGCACTCTTCAGATATTGAAAAGTTGCTATGAGGTCTCCATGCAGTCTTCTCCAGGCTAAACAACCCTAACTTCCTCAGCCTGTCTTCGTAGGGAAGATGCTCCAGTCCTCTTATCAACTTTGTGGCCTCCTCTGGACTTGCTCCAACACTTCCATGTCCTTCTTATGTTGAGGGCACCAGAACTACATGCAGTATTCTAGGTGGGGTCAAATGTTGCCAAGAGAAGTCAGTATTTATAAGCTGCACAGCCACCTTTGTATGTGAAATTGTTATGTTTTCTAGGGGGAATATTTTTAGACCACCATCGCTATAGTTATACTTGGGGCAAAACTAAAGCAAGATGAAAAGTGACTCTGAGTACACCAAAATTTTCTGAACACAGGTGTTTCACTGCACCTGAGGAGATGAGGCAACAGAGGTTTTCTGGCAAACAGAATAGGCCTCTTGTAAAATATTTGCACAGAGGAAAATTCAGCAGCACTGAACTTGTTGAACTCAATATGCACCTCCTACCCCAGAGTTGCTCAGTCCTGTTACGCCTCTCTTAATGGTACAAGATTCTCATCACAGCACTAATTGCAGAGGGAACTAACATCTGCATTGTCTTGATAATTGACTTTGACTGGGACAGAGCAGACATCCAACTTGCTCATCATGAGTTTAGTGCCCAAGCCTATGGCTGCGGTACTGTGGTCAGGAGTGAGTAGCTGTGGTAGCTGTCTGCATGGGTACTCTTAGATCACCACAACACAGACAAGAGTTATTTCAGCTGTCTTTTAAGACAGACATAGGAAGGTTGAACAACTTCATATTTATTATGGCTCTCAATGCATGTAAAATTAGCACAGCTTTGCTGATGAGCAGAAACCTCATCATGGTTAACCAGCAGTGTGTCTCACCTCTTAGGGAATAATAAAAGTGAGTTGGAGCTATCCCAGCCAGTCAGGAGACATGTTTCCATGTCTGCCTCATTATTGCAAATGAAAGCAGAACGACAGGGCAGGACTTTGCCTGTGGGATTCACTCAGATGGCTGCACAGCTGCCTGTTGTGCTTCCAAGTGCCACTAATTCTGCCAACCTCCAAGATGCTTGGAAATAGTCTAAGTAGCAGGAGGAGCTGGCTGTTAAACTGTGGTTAGTAAGTGTGCTGAAAGCCTCCCAGCACTTCAAAGTGACCACAGTGCGACTTTGATAGCTTCTGGGATGGGGCCTCTTAGATTCTGGCAGAAGGGGTGCAAGATGGCCAAGCTTTCCCCCTCTGTCTCACAGAGCAGGGTGCCTCATCCCAACCCTGGAAGGGCACTCCCATGTGGGGAACTGGATTCCTAGCATCCATTAAATGCAACACATTGCCATGCTCTGCCAAGACAAAGCCAGAAAACTGCCAAAAAGAAACCAGTTCTGGTGATGGCAACCACATTCTAAAAACATCAAGCAAGTCCCTGCCTGAGAAGGAGCCCAGTTCCCTATCACTGGCTTCTGAAGTGCCAGAGGTACCTCCATCTCTGTGCAGGTGGTGAAGAGGGGCTCAGGAGAGCCAATTCACTCCTTTGCTGTAACTCCCATCTCACCATACAAGTGCCAGTGCTACATCCCTCTGTGCTTCTCACCACTTGTAGTACAGTATTTTCCTTTCTCCTGTTCTTTATCTGTGTACTCTAATGAGATATTAAGCAATTCATGGCTAGATGACAGGACAACGTCTGACGCATTTGTACAATGCCAAGTTCAATATGCACCTGGTCTCTGTGGGAGCCCCTTGAGTACAGACACATCCAACTATGCAGACACAGTGAGCCCATCACCCTTGAGTTTTCATGAGATGCTCTAAATAAGAACATCTTTGGATTTGTTCATTTTCCAGGGAAGACTGTCTGACTCCGAGCTGACTAACTGAGTCAAGAGCAACAAACCAGACTGCTGCATCCCTGCGCACGCTCTTGAGTAAATGGAGGCTTGGGCTTTTTTTTCCTTCAGTCCTGAACTCAAGCACAACAACAAAGCAGACGTACGGTGGTAGTATGGTGGACGGAAGGTGTTGTTAGCTACCCCCCATCGTGGGGGGAATATGACAAAGTCAGCGAGTGCCACTCCCGCACGGGTCGTCTTGGCTGTCAGGACAGTGAAGATAGAAGGATCCTGAAAAAAAGCAAATCAAAAAGCATGAAACAGAGCAGGGCTCAGAGCTGTCTGCTCAGCTCATCCAGGTGGCAAACCTGATTGATATAGCCTCTCCCTTGCCTAAACACTTTTGCCACCTGCACCTGGTGGCATAAGCTGAGACATGGGAGATTCAGATTAGATATCAGGAAAGCTTTTTCACTGGTAAGGTTGTCAGGCATTGAAGTAGGTTGCCCAGGGAGGTGGTGGACTCACCATCCCTGAAGTGTTTAAGAGGTATCTGGATCTAGCACTGAAGAGGTGGTTTAGGGTTGAAGAGGTTACAGAGGAGTGACAGGCTAATGATTGGACTTGATGATCTTAGAGGTCTCTTCCGACCATGATGATTCTCTGTTTCTATGATATTTGAGACCCTGTGTGACAGTGCCCAGCATCACAATCCCATGCTATACATGGGGGACAAGAGATGGGACTGGACGGTTCTTCCTTTGAGGAGCCTTGGAGATCCTTCCCCATCCTGGCCATGATGCCCTCATAGCTGGCAGTGCAGCTGCAGAGGGTGGACAGCCCTGCAAGATGAGGTACTGCCATTCCACAAGCAGTCTTCAGCACTCCTCCTACCACAAGATCATACCTTTTCTTTAACCAGTTACAGAGGACAGGAACATCCTGCTGGAGGTGTTTAGCCTCATGGCCTTGTTATTTTACAAACAGGGAGAAGAAATTTCAGAGAAATTGTGGCTTGTTGAAATCTCTAGTCCAGTAAACCTTCTCCTGGAAGGTTTTTCTGAAGTTAAAACAGTACTTTCTGCTGGTTTTCTAACTAGAAATCCTCTAGTCTCCTTGCACACCCACTTGCATCACTGTGGGCACCTCTCCCACTTAGCTGGTTTCCTTTTTAGAAGAGCTGCTCACATTAGTTTTGGCTTTAATTATTTTCTAGACATCTAGAAATTCTTGCAATGGAAGCTGCCAGCTCTTCAAATGAATGTCAGTGCTGGGCTCGGAGGAATCAGGGGAAGGAGCCTGTCCAATTACAAGAAATAAATCAAGGCAAGAATTTGAAGCAACAGTCTTTTTGATGAGTTGCATGGTGTGTATTGTCTTCAGTATTCATCCTTCCTCCAGGTCACAGAAATTCTGTGCTAAGCTGCACAGAGCTGTTTAAGAAGCCAAGCAACTTCCAGTTCTGTCTTTGTATCCCAAAGAAGGATGTCTTTCTCTACAAGAGCTTGGTTTGGGCTCAGGGAAAGCAGCACAAGAGATTTCACACTGTTTCATTACAGCAGAACATATTTTTTAAGACCCACTGAGCCCTTGGAGCTCAGGGTGGGTTTGGATGTTAAAGGTAGTTACAATGCATTGCTTTGCTTTGCCCATGTCCAGTACTTACTGCGTGGTCAAAAGCAACAGCATTAATGACCATGAATTTCTCCAGATGATATTTGTACGGCGTGTAGTTCCCATGCCAAGCTACAACATTGAAGGGGGAGAAATCCTACCAAAGCAAAGAGAGAAAGGGTTACTGCACACAGCCTTCCAGCTTCCTGGATATATGCAGGATGCTGCTCTTTCCCAAATAAGAAATAGGTTTAGTGCTGTTCAGAGGTACAGGAAGCCCTTTTGGCACAGCTCAACACTCTCTGAAGATGAGGTTTTCCTCAGCGTTTCCACTTGGTAAGTCTCAGCCTTCCCTCTGGGGTTTGGTCTTTAAGAGCTCTTGAGTGCCCAAGCAGTGCTTGCACAAGGCCAGCTGCAACAGTGTCTCTCTGGTAAAGAAACTCTGGCTTGCCACAGCAGTCCCAGCT